TCTCTCTGAATTTTTAAATAATGTATTGAAAGAACTTATTCACAAAGCCACAGTTTTTCTTTTTTCTTAATAGTCTCATATGCTCATAATTTTCATACAATCTCAAGTGTCTGAAGCCATCAGTTGAAATTTATCATCTTTTATAAGCTCTAAATGTGTGAATCCCCAGCCTTTCCAGTCTAAAAGAAGTTTTGTGTATGGTTCTATTTTGGGGAAACTCATGGGAACTGTATCAGAATCCCCAACAGGGAAATGATAAGCTGCGATACCGCTCCTTACCCACTAACTGGTGTCTACCTTAGCAGAATTACGGAATTTAATGCTTCTAACTCTCACATTGCTCTTCATATAATTTGCATTTACTTCCGGGTATTGTAATATCTGGATTTTTTCTTTATTTAAAGTTTACTAATATAGAGTGGATCCCTGGTGGCAAAGTGGTTAAGAGCTCGGCTGCTAACCAGAAGGTTGGCAGTTGGAATCCACCAGCTGCTCCTTGGAAACCCTACGGGTTAGTTCTACTCTGTCCTATAGGGTCACTGTTAGTGGGAATTGACTTGGTTACAACGGGTTTGTTTGTTTGTTTTTAATGTAGAGTGGGCCAGAAGCTTTTCTAACAATACTTTTTTTTCCTGAAGAGGTTCCATATTTGTCTGTACTGTACTTTTAGAGTTGTTCCATATTAGAATGTTTGTCACTTATCATCAACTACAGAAATATTTTTTTTTAAGTGTGGTCCATGAGATAATGATTGTCAGCTACTGTAAAGATGCTTTTATCATGTGAAAAGGACTAATTTAACACATATACTGTAGGGAGACTTCTTTAAACAGCCATTTCCTAAAAAGGAAAACACTGAAAGAAAAGAAAAGCGGGAACAGTTTAAAAAACCTCACAAAAGCTCAGTGTGACTATCCTACTGGAATAATGTAATCTAGGAGAATTAAGTGAGTTGGGTAAATAATTCTTTAGAAGAATTAGCCCTTTGCAAAGGAATAGGTTTAAGTAGCATAGTTTTTAAAGTCAAATTCTGACTAACTGCATGTACATTTTAATGCACTTAGGGTTAGGGTTTATTGAATGACTAGCCTGGTTGGCAGGTACATCCGGAGGTCATGGCAGTTGCGAACTACCTTGAAGGACGGACCTGGCTATGTGTGGCAGCCTCAAATGGCCCATGCTAAGGAATAGCTTATGACCGCCGGGAACCATTACATATTTTGAGCAGGAGATGGTAGGATCTGATATGAACTTTAGTTTCGTTCCTTTCAAATGAAAACACAGAAAACAAAAGGCTTGATATTTTGTTTTCTTTGTATAGCACCAGTGCCAATTCTAGCCTGTCAGGACAAATTCAATAATAATTAATAGCTGTTGAACAATCATTCTAGAATAGATTTTTTAACAAGCTGGTCAATAAATGAGGATCAACATAAATGTAGTTTTCTTTTTTTTAAAAAGAGCAAGTGTTACTGCAGTTTTCACAGCCTCCCTTATATTCCTTATACATCCAGTAGGTGCAATGGTGGGTAATTTAGCTATAGCATAGAGAATGTGGCAGCTGATTGAAAAAAGAAAAAAATACTCCAGTACTTCTGCCTTAATGAGAGAACTTGGGTTGTCTAAGGAAATAAGGAGGTCAGAAGAAAAGTGAGCCCAGTTAGAGCTGACAAAAATTCACCCTAATGATTTGACCAGCTACCAATGAATGTGCAAGTTCCCAAGTCCATTGGCCCAGATGTTCTCATTTGTAAATGCAAAGTGACTTCTTTATCAGTCTCCTGGGGAAGTCTTCCAAGTGGTGACCCTGCTACCTTCAGTAATCTTGCTGTCCTGAGCTCAGTGCTGTTCTCAGATGAAATTTCAGAAACTGGCTGCTGGCGCTTTCCAGGTAAGGGCTTCCAGAGGCCGCCAAGTAACTAGTAGTAGGGGAATGAGGTTTACCCGACCCTAGTAATCAGCACTCAATTTTAGAGAAATCAGTGGGGGCGCCTCTTGTTTTCCTGGTTGCGGTTGATTGCGGTTGGCTCAGGCTGAGCTGTTTGGGAAATAGTTTTGCTTAGCGTGAGTCAGCACTGTGCTGGGTAAACTGCCTGCTCTGTTGCAATCTTGCTTACCAAAGATACATCCCCAGGCGGCACCATTCACTCTGCCTGAAAGCCGCTGCTGTTGGTTCCTGAGATGATCTCATCTAAACATGGCTCCAACGACCTCCGCGGCAGGAACTGAAGGCATTCTGCCCTGGCAATTTTTTTTTCCCCCAGTTGTGCTTTAGGTGAAAGTTTACAGAGCAAATTAGTTTCTCATTGAAAAATTGATACACAAATTGTTTCGTGACATTGGTTGCAATCCTCGTGATGTGTCAGCACTCTTCCCCTTTTCACCCCAGGTTCTGTGTTTCCATTCGTCCAGTTTTCCTGTCCCTTCCTGCCTTCTAGTCTTTGCTTTTGGGCAGGTGTTACCATTTGGTCTTATACACTTGATTAATCTCAGAAGCACATTCCTCATGTGTGTTATTGTATGTTTTATGGGCCTGTCTAATCTCTGGCTGAAAGGTGAGCTTCAGGAGTGACTTCAGTTTCGAGTTAGAAAGGTTTTTGGCGGGGGGAGCATAGCCTCAGAGGTTCCTCCACTCTGTCAGACCAGTAAGTCTGGTCTTTCTTGTGAATTTGAATTTTGTTCTACATTTTTCTCCCACTCTGTCCGTGACCCTCTATTGTGATCCCTGTCAGAGCAGTCAGTGGTGGTAGCTGGGCACCATGTAGTTCTTCTGGGTTTAGGCAGGTGGAGGCTGTGGTTCATGTGGTCCATTAGCCCTTTGGAACTAATATTTTTCTGGTATCTTTGGTTTTCTTCATTCTCCTTTGCTCCGGATGGGATGGGTCCATTAGATGTATCTTAGATGGCCACTTGCAAGCTTTTAAGATCCCAGACACTACTCACCAAAGTAGGATGTAGAACATTTTCTTTCTGAGCTATGTTATGCCAATTGACCTAGATGTCCCCTGAGACTATGGTCCCTAGCGCTCTTCCCAGTAGCTTGGTCCCTCAAGGTGTTTGGATGTGTCTAGGAAGCTTCTGTAACTGTGCGCCTTTTGTGCTCTTATTATATGCATCAATATACATGCTGTACATACAAATATATTTGTAAAAATATCCACCAAAAAAAACCAAACCCATTGCTGTCGAGTCGATTCTGATTCATAGCGACCCTACAGGGCAGAGTAGAACTGCCCCATAAGGTTTCCGAGGAGCACCTGCTGGATTCAAACTGTGACCTTTTGATTAGCAGCCATAGCTCTTAACCACTACACCACCAGGGTTTCCAAACTATGTATGTAAGTGAGCCTAACCTGTATATTAAGTGGGTATACTCCTATACACCCTCTTTGCCCTATTCTGCGTAAGTATCTGTTTGTAAGTTATTATTTGTTTTTTACGGTTGTTGTATATGCTGTAGTATTTACTGTGCTTGCCTTTTTTTTTTTTTTCCCCGTTTCTTGTGTTCCTCTAAGTGTCTTCCTTTGCCCTGGTCAAGTTGTGCTGACTTCCCCATATTGTGTTGTCTTTCTCTTCAACAAAGTTAACACTTGTCTGCTATCTAGTTAGTGATTTCCCCTCTCTACCCCTCCCCTCCCTTGTAACCATCAAAGATTGTTTCTTTCTGTGTGTAAACCTTTTCATGAGTTTTAATAATAGTGGTCTCATGCAATATTGGAGGAAGACAATACTGTACTTTCCCAACTCTGATCCTCTCATCAACCCTTTGTTATTTTGGCATCTGTCCCCCTTGCTCTGCTCATACTTTCCTGATGATAACCAGTGAACTTCTAATTACCAAATTCAGTGCCCCAGTTTCAGCCTCCATTTTGCCTAGCGTTTTTTTATTCTCTCTTCCCTCATCAACCTTTTTCATTTGGCTTTGAAGCTCTTGTCTGAGTTTATTATTCTTTTGGCTATCCCATAGGTATTAAGATGTTCCAAGGCTTTCCCTTAGATATCTTTTTACTCTTGCCCCAGCCCTTTCCTCTAATGATCTCAAATATGTCCATAAAGTTGGCTACCCTTAGGATGTTTTGCTAGCCTAAGTGTCTCTCCCAAACTTCAGATCCTTATTTCCAACTTGACAAAACTACCAGGGTATTCAAAAAGCATCTTAAATTCAACATTGTACATATCTGAACTCCTTGTCTTCCCTTCTCAGTATCTGCTATCTGCTTGTATTGCTGTATGTTTTAACCGTATTAATTATATCCGCCAAGTCTTCGTGTTTATTCTTTTTATGCTTCATATCCTCTAAATAGGCTAAATCCATGGTTGCTAAACCCTGTTGATTATGTTAGAGTCATGTTTGGTGTGTGATTTTTCTTCATCCTCCACTGTCATTGCCTTAATTTACCAGGGACCAAAAATTGGACATTTTGTTTAACCAGCTCAGTGGTTTAAAATTTTGCGTTTGATTACTTTTAAGCAGAGCCTAAACTTGGTGATCTGCTACTGTAAAGATTACAGTCAAGAAAACCCTATAGGACAGTTCTGCTCTGTCACATGGTATTGCACCTAACAAAAACAACAACAGATATCTCCATTCTCCCAGATCTTACACATCTAAAACTTCACACATTTTACCTGCCTTGCCTCTGGGAATTTGAGTTTGTGACTTCTGGTTCAGACACTTATCAAATCTTGCTGGACTTTTACCACACGCCACAGGTCTTTCTCTGCTCCTGTCTTCTCCAAAGTTATCTTCCTAAAGGCCAAATCTAATCTTTTCATTCTCTGGCTTTCAGAGTCCCATTGGTTCCGTTTCCTACTTCGCTTGATTTGTAGTCCTTCATAACTTGACCCTATCCTACCTAACCAGTCTTATCTCCTTCTCCTTTCCTCCACCCCTTTCTATCAACTCCAACCTCACTGAATGTCTTATCTTCCCCATGTCCTTTTAGAACTCTCTGCCTTTTCCTAGGACCCCTGGTGGTGCAGTGGTTAAGAGCTAAGACTGCAAACCAAAAGGTTGGCAGTTCAGGTCCACCAGCTGCTCCTCAGAGATCCTATGGGACAGTTCTACTCTGTCCTATAGGGTTGCTATGAGACGGAATCGACTTGATGGCAATGGGCTTGGTTTTTAGTTTTTCCCCTTATCTGACTAGCAAGGTTCTCATCCCCCAGGAGACTTAATTCACATGTGAAACTTTTCCTGGGAAGGAAAGAGTTAGTTCTTCCTTCCTTGGGCTTCCTGTAGCACTGTCTGTCTCTTTCACTAGACTTTTGAGTGCCTTGACTGAACCTGGTTCCTAACCTAGTATCTGGTACTATCAGAGATAGTGGCTGAAATTGGTCCCCAGGGTCAGTTGTCTTTCTTACTCTTTGCAATATCAGAAAATCCTTAAGTTCTCTTGTTAGATGGCATGTTTTCACCTGAAACCAGTGGAAGTTAATTTGCAGATTTAAAGGGCTTGCTGAAGCCTAGTTCCAAAATAACACCTAACGTTTTTATAGTACTTTACAAAATTATTTCTCTTGTATCATTTTACTTGATAGTGTGTTGGGTAGGCTTTATTATCCTTATTTTACCAGTGGTTATAAAGGTAGTTGTGACATTGAAGCATACATTCAGGTTAAGACTCAGAAAAGAAAACCTGTGCTTCCACTACATTAAACAACTAGCTTGTCTCTTTGTAGTTAAATATGCCCTGTGGTTTTACAGAAAAGGGGCCTTTGCTTGTAGGTAAATGCTAAAGATACTGCCTTTTACAAGGCCACTTTATCATCTAGGTAGAATGAGAACCCAGAGCCTCTTGACCTATGGAAAGGCCTTGAGCGTAGTTAGAGACTTTAACTGAAATTAACAGTGCACCCACTCCAACATCTTAAGGTTTTCTATCACACATGAAATGTCTAGAATTTGTTAACACCTAACTGTGCTGGTGGGGTATAAAACCAGGTCGATGATGAGTGAAGGGACTCAGCAGAAAATAGAGTAAGCTGAGTGTTAAGAGCAGAAAAGTTTGCATAGTAATTCTAGCAAGTGATAAAATTAAGTTTGTAGAGCACTTCACAACTTCTGGGGTGCAAAAATGTCGAAATTGTAGAACAACAAATCATAAGGACTAAGAAATAATCTCTGTTAGATACAGACAGGCATGTTACATCCAGTTTTGGTCCCTTCATGCTTAAGAGATGATAACTACAGATGATTAAAAGGTTGAAAAAATAGGTTCTGTCATGAAAAATTTCTTTTTTTTTTTGGTTTATCATGAAAAGTTAAAAAAAGATTTTAGTCTAGAGAAGGAAAAGCTAAAGAATGGCTTGATTACATCTTCAAGTGCAAAAATAGTTTTTGCCAGGGGGATTGTTCTTCAGGTACTTGAAAGAATTAAGAGGAAATGGGCTTAAGTTGAAGGAGGAGCAATTTTAATTGAATAAAAGGAAAAATTTCCTGATCATCAAATTTGGGAAACATTTGAATGACTTCTAAAGAAAGTGTTGTATTTCTGACTGTTTCAGTTATCTATTACAATGTAACAAGCCACCCTAAAAACTTTTAGTGACTTAAAATGACAACCATTTTATTGCTCATAATTCTGTGGATTAGGAACTCAGGGAAGGGGACACATTGCTCTGCTCCACAGGACGCTGACTGGGCTGGAGGATCCAAGATGGCTTCACTCACATGTCTGAGGCGTTGGTGATAGCTGTTGGCTGGGACATCTTTATTCTCCTCCATAAGGTTTGTCTCTTTCTTGGTCTCTCCTCATTCACTAATCTAGATTGGGCTTCTTTACATGGTGGCTGGCTTCCAAGAGGGCCCTACTGGAAGCTGCATGGTCTCTTAAAGCCTGATCCTAGAAGTCATACGTCATTATTTTTGCCCACTCTTTGGTCAAAACAAGTCCAACCCAGATTCAAGGGGAGGGGAAATGGACTCCACCTCTTGATGGGCAGAGTGTCAAGGTCACATTGCAAAAGGGCCTGCAGGATGGTTGAGATTATTGAAGGCATTTTTGGACACAATTTACCACACTGACTTTAGAGATTTTTAATGAGAGAATAATCAATACATGTTTATTTAATGGGTAGTTTGGGCATATGATTTACAATCTTGGCTGTATATCAGTGTCATCTGTGGAGTGTTTTTACAAGCTTAGACTCCTCAGTACTAGACCTGTCAATCAGTGTCTCCTAGGGGGTGCTGGCACATAAAAGTCACACTGTGTCCTTTCTGTCAGGTAACTATCAGTAAAGTGACAATAGGGGTATGCAAAAGGAATAAGACAGATCCAAATAGGTGTAATATATAAGGCAGAATGGTAGGTGTCTTAAGATGGGCCTGTTGGTCTCCTCCTCCCTGCTTCCAGACTTAGTTGAACCCTCCGCTGGCATGCTCTTCTCAGCCTAACAAGTTATGTCTCATTCAATCAGCATATCATCAGAGCAGTGTTTCTTGATGCCCCACTTATTTTTCTCATAGTTTCCAGCAGTTTTCCTTCATAGCATTTTTTTAGTTTATAATTAAATATTTTTATGATTTTTTTGTCTATTTATAATAGACAAAAAAAAAAAAGTCTGCTTCCCAGTGCCTATCATAGTGCCTTCCTCATAAAAGACACTCAGTGAGTATTTGATGAATAAGTGGCTGATTGAATGCATGAATGGATAAAGTGATATTTGAATTCAGTTTCAAAGGGTGATTGGAATTTTGGACAGGTGGAGCAAATGAATGAGGAATTCAGAGTTCTGAAGCAGAAAGTGTGGATTATGCAGATCCTATAATTTCAAATAATTGGAGGAACTGGTTTGGGGAAAAGATGAGGGGTTTGACTTTGAGTGTACTTGGTATGCTAAATTTGAGGTACAGACACCTAGCAGGCACTTGGATATGAGATACTAAAACTAAAGAGTGATATTGATTCCAGATACTTAGATTTGGGTGTTACCTGCCTGAAGACTATGAAATCCATTTATTTACCAAATACTTATTGAGCCCCCAGTATGTGGCAGATTACCATGTTATAGAAAAGGTAAGCCGAAGTCTGATTGATAAGCAACTAGTTCTGAAAAGAGCTGGGGAGAATGTTCCAGGTAGGAAAGGAACCATAAGTGTACAGGTCCTGGAGCAATAAATACTTTATTATTTTTGAGGAAATGAAAAGAGGCCACCAAAATGGGCTAGAGTGTGGTGAATGAGGGGGAGTGAGCATGAGGTAGACAGGGACCACATCACATGGGGCCTGTGTGGACCACATAGGCAGTCTACACTTTGTCCAAAAGCATGGTGGGAAACCATTGAGTTTTTAAAGTAGGAGAGTAATGTGCTAAGATTAATTTTTAAAGAGGTTTCTGAAAAAATGGCACAGCTGAGGCGTCTGACCTCCTCCTCTAACTTCACAAGGGGGAAGGAGAATCATTATCAGCATTAACAGCCCTAGGCTGACTCCTGTGAGGCAGAGGTCAGATGTGCTATGTCTTGTCAACCTTTTTACCAATTCTGACACCAACCATCCCTCCCAGGGCAGGAGAGAGAGAATGGCAGATAGGGTAGGGTGGGAACGGGACAGATGCATGGCATATCTAAAAAGTAGAACCACTATAATTCACTAGAGAAGGAAAAGAAGAATGGGAAGGAAATAACCTTAGGGGATAATTAGGGGCAAAAGGAGGAGCCAGAGAAGGACAGAGAGAAATACTGGTACTTAAAGTCAAAGGAGAGCCAAGCTACTGCCCTTTCAGTGGGAGCCAGTGGGGAAAGAGGAGCTTGTAAGAGAGATTCCAGAAGGAACATGGATAGGTCATCAGTGTTCAGGGCTGTAGGGAGGTCATGAAGGTTGAGGACTTAGAAAAAAAGCCATGCATTTAGCCATGAGAAGATCATTGGTGACGTTGGAGAAAAGGCGTTCAGTAGAGTGAAATGGAAAGAGTTAATGAAGGGAGTGTATGTTGGGAAAGTGTAGGCAGAGTACCAGCTACTCTCTTAGGGAAGTCGGGAATTGAAGAGAAAGGGAGATGGAGCAGATAGCTTGCTTTGTACAAGCTTTCACAGAGAACCATGCTTGTGAAGGTTGTTGTTGTTAGGTGCTATCGAGTCAGTTCCAACTCATAGCAACCCTATGTACAACAAATGAAACACTGCCTGATCCTGCACCATCCTCACAATTGTGTTTGAGCCCCTTGTTGCAGCCAGTGTGTCAGTTCATCTAATTTAGGTCTTTCTCTTTTTTGCTGACCCTCTACCAAGCATGATGTCCTTCTCCAGGGACTGATCCCTCCTGATAAACATGTCCAAAGTATGTGATGTCTTGCCATCCTTGCTTCTAAGGAGCATTCTGGCTGTACTTCTTCCAAGACAGATTTGTTGGTTCTTCTGTCAGTCCATGGTATATTCAGTATTCTTCACCAACACTATAATTCAAAGGCATCAATTCTTCTTTGATCTTCCCTATTCATTGTCCAGCTTTCACTTGCATATGAGGCGAGTGAAAACACCATGGTTTGGGTCAGGCATGCCTTAGTCCATAAAGTGACATGTTTGCTTTTTAACACTTTAAAGGGATCTTTTGCAGCAGATTTGTCCAATGCATGCGTCATTTGATTTCTTGACTGCTGCTTCCATGGGTGTTGATTGTGGATCCAAGTAAAATGAAATCCTTGACAACTTCAATCTTTTCTCCGTTTATCATGATGTTACTTATTGGTCCAGTTGTGAGGATTTTTGTTTTCTTTATGTTGAGGTGTAATCCATACTGAAGGCTGTGGTCTTTGATCTGCATCAGTAAGTGCTTCAAGTCCTCTTCACTTTCAGCCAGCAAGGTTGTGTCATCTACATTTTGCAGCTTGTTAGTCTTCCTCCAGTCTTGACGCCGCGTTCTTCATTGTCTATCTTCTCGGATTATTTGCTCAGCATTCAGATTGAATAAGTATGGTGAACGGATACAACCTGATGCACAACTTTCCTGACTTTAAACCATGCAGTATCCCCTGTTCTGTTTGAATGACTGCCTGTTGGTCTAAGTACAGGTTCCTCATGAGCACGGTTAAGTGTTCTGGAATTCCCATTCTTCGAAATGTTATCCATAATTTGTTCCACAGAGTTGAATGCCTTTGCATAGTCAATAAAACACAGGTAAACATCTTTCTGGTATTCTCTGCTTTCAGCCAGGATCCACCTGACATCAGCAATGATAACCCTTGTTCCACGTCCTCTTCTGAATCTGGCCTGAATTTCTGGCAGTTCCCCTGTCAATGTATTGCTGCAGCCGCTTTCGAATGATCTTCAGCAAAATTTTACTTGTGTGTGATATTAATGATATTGTTCGATAATTTCCACATTTCCATGTGTGAAGGTAGGATTTTAAAAACTATATTGGACCAATAATTACTGAATACATGCTGTATGCCAGTCACTGCTAGGTGCTATACTAAGATTATTCTATTCATCTTTGTCTTTAAACCATTGGCCAAATAGTGTATACTGATCTCCAAAGCGGATTTCTGAATCCTAGGGGTGCATAAGACCCTCTTTTGGGGTATGGGAAGGAAAGATTAGAACTAACTTGTTCTGTATTTTTGTCTTACCCTTTGAAATTTCTTTTTACTGTTGTGTTTTAGCATTTTTGAGATAGAGAAAAAGAGAAAAGTGGGAAATCAGTGTGTTAAGTACTTTGCACATTAACTGTTTTAAACCTCTGAAGAACTCTGTCAAGTTATTTCCTCGTTTTATAGATGAAGAAACCAGGCCTGAAGAACTTAACTTGCCCAAGCTCACACAGCTAGTTAAGTGGTAAAACTGGGATTTGAAACCAGATCTGCTTTATTTGAAAGCCTTACACCTCACTTACTGTCCCCCACTTCATCTACCCTGTGCTTAATGCTTTCTTACCTTTTTTCATTTGATTTACAGTGATTCTGTAAGGAACACATTAAAATATCCATTTGCAATTGAGAAATCTGAGGCACAGATGAAATGATTAGTGCACGGTCACTTATCTTGTATATGGCACCTGCCGGACGCTTTCCACTGTACCATAACTGTCTTTCAAAATAGACACACAGAACCCAGGTTGAATTATTTTAGTAAAGTAGGTAAGGATGTTTCTAGTTATCTGACCAAGAAGGGATGGGGCAGGAATATTACGTAGACAAAGTAGAAAACAGTAATAGTTCCCATTTTTTGAACACTTACGCTCTGTGTTAAGGGTTTGTTCCAGTTACCTCATTTAGGTACTCCATTTTACAGCTGAGAAAAATGAAAGTTAGGGAAGTTAAGCACCTTGAGTGAGGCCACACAGGAGGAAGACTGAGTTCTGTCTTACTCCGGGCCTCTTGCCGCTAAACCCTGCACAACATTGCTCTTTGGAAAGTTGTTATGGGGATATCAGCTAGGGATAAGTGCTTGGCCCCAGGTGTATGAGTCTTTTGGGAACCCAGTAATAAAGTCTTCTGACTTTTCTGTAATACTTGGTAGCTAGAGTGGGGAGGAGGGGAGGGGAGAAGAGAAGCATAGAATAAGAGTTCAATAAATCAGAAGGGGGCCTCAGGGTACAGGGATGGTAGATTGCAGTGGAGTTTGTTGTTAAGAAAAGTTGTGTTTGAAATTCATTCTTACAGTAAATGTTTATTGTGGCTCTTTCTGTTTGATGCAAGGTATATTGAGATATGGAGAAAAGAATGCAAAATAGATAAGATGGGGACTTTGACCTCTAGAAGGTTAGAGAGGGAGATAAAGTGCTTCAC